TGACCTCTGTCGTCTTTCTTCACACGCCCTTTAACCTCCCAGTGCTCCCAGTTTGAAGGCTCTGAAACCAGCTCAGAGTCAGCTGCTGGTCCGTCCACCAACTCAGTCACATTCCATCATTTATAAGACGTAAAATAAACCGAATCCAAGTCCGCTTGACCACAGCGTGCTGGATGTGAAAACGCCTTCAATATGCAGTGAAGTCACCGTTTATATCAGAGGTTATTTATCGTCTGCTGGACGACCCCTAAAAATCAAATCTATTAAAGTTTCAATTCACACTTTGTGCTGTAGTTTTCATGTGTACCACCAGAGGGCGCCAGAGCAAGGCTTCATGTTACAGCATCAAGTAGAAATAAAAATCAAATGTGTTTAAATGATCTTTACCTGAGAGTCTGAGTTCAGGGTTCACTGATCTGTTTCTACCCTGAGCGGAGTCTGTCAGGCATCAATAAAGAGCTGTCAACCTGAGAGTCTAAACTCAGGGTTGATCTCATACACACACACAAGATTTCAAACCCATCAGGAGTTCCAAGCTGTCCTCTGATTGGTCGCTTCATTGAGGCAGAAAGTCGTTAAAGAGCAAACAAAAAAGCGTGTGACGCTTGTCCGTCTGGTTGCCTAGCAACGCCTGAATTGATGAGTTTGTATCGCAGCCTGGCTGATCATTGACATGCTGATGATTTTCTGTCTTTGAGGTTCAGTAATGTATTCCGTCCTGAAGCACGACGGCTGCGTGAAGAGGCGGTGTCAGAAAGCCTCTGAAAACAAAAGGTGGCGTTTGATGGTTGAGAAGAAGAAGAAGAAGAACGTTAAAAACCCTCTGTTCCACTTTGAGACCCTTTCTCATGATTTACAGCCCTCACATTATTCTTCTGGTTCACTCAGCACTTTTCAGACCCCTCATTGCAGCAGAGGTATTAAAACCTCGCTGCTGCCCCCATGTGGACAAAATCTTTTATTTTCCAGATTAAAAGCCTCCAAACTTTGATTCTCTGGAGTTTAAAAAGCTCGGGGTGAGTCGGCGTGTGTGTAACAAACACAAACGTCATGTTTATTAAAAGATCATCCGTGTGGAATAATAAGGGGCTCTATCTGCATGCATGTTGGTCGCCATGGTAACGTATGAATTCTGGATGTGCTGTCTCCATAGATATGAAGATCTAAATTTATGGCTGCTTGCCGTGACCCTTCAGAGTAAAAGTACGGATGAAAACTAAATTACACTAAAATGATTTTCAAAATAAAACATGACTTTGACTGATATAATATAATTATTATGTTCACCAGCCAATCACAGCGCTGACACATAGAGACAGACAACCAGACACAGTCACATTCACACCAGGAACCTCCTCACAGAGAGACTCCTGAAGGACAGGGATTCAAACCAGGAACCTCCACACAGAGAGACTCCTGAAGGACGGGGATTCAAACCAGGAATCTCCTCACAGAGAGACTCCTGAAGGACGGGGATTCAAACCAGGAACCTCCTCACAGAGAGGCTCCTGAAGGACGGGGATTCAAACCAGGAATCTCCTCACAGAGAGACTCCTGAAGGACAGGGATTCAAACCAGGAACCTCCACACAGAGAGACTCCTGAAGGACGGGGATTCAAACCAGGAATCTCCTCACAGAGAGACTCCTGAAGGACGGGGATTCAAACCAGGAACCTCCTCACAGAGAGGCTCCTGAAGGACGGGGATTCAAACCAGGAACCTCCTCACAGAGAGGCTCCTGAAGGACGGGGATTCAAACCAGGAACCTCCACACAGAGAGACTCCTGAAGGACGGGGATTCAAACCAGGAACCTCCTCACAGAGAGACTCCCGACAGACGGGGATTCAAACCAGGAACCTCCTCACAGAGAGACTCCTGAAGGACGGGGATTCAAACCAGGAACCTCCACACAGAGAGACTCCTGACAGACGGGGATTCAAACCAGGAACCTCCTCACAGAGAGGCTCCTGAAGGACGGGGATTCAAACCAGGAACCTCCTCACAGAGAGACTCCTGAAGGACGGGGATTCAAACCAGGAACCTCCTCACAGAGAGACTCCTGAAGGACGGGGATTCAAACCAGGAACCTCCTCACAGAGAGGCTCCTGAAGGACGGGGATTCAAACCAGGAACCTCCTCACAGAGAGGCTCCTGACGGACGGGGATTCAAACCAGGAACCTCCTCACAGAGAGACTCCTGAAGGACGGGGATTCAAACCAGGAACCTCCTCACAGAGAGGCTCCTGAAGGACGGGGATTCAAACCAGGAACCTCCTCACAGAGAGACTCCTGAAGGACGGGGATTCAAACCAGGAACCTCCACACAGAGAGACTCCTGACAGACGGGGATTCAAACCAGGAACCTCCTCACAGAGAGACTCCTGAAGGACGGGGATTCAAACCAGGAACCTCCTCACAGAGAGACTCCTGAAGGACGGGGATTCAAACCAGGAACCTCCACACAGAGAGACTCCTGACAGACGGGGATTCAAACCAGGAACCTCCTCACAGAGAGACTCCTGAAGGACGGGGATTCAAACCAGGAACCTCCTCACAGAGAGACTCCTGAAGGACGGGGATTCAAACCAGGAACCTCCTCACAGAGAGACTCCTGAAGGACGGGGATTCAAACCAGGAACCTCCTCACAGAGAGACTCCTGTCAGACGGGGATTCAAACCAGGAACCTCCTCACAGAGAGACTCCTGTCAGACGGGGATTCAAACCAGGAACCTCCTCACAGAGGGACTCCTGTCAGACGGGGATTCAAACCAGGAACCTCCTCACAGAGAGACTCCTGACAGACGGGGATTCAAACCAGGAACCTCCTCACAGAGAGACTCCTGAAGGACGGGGATTCAAACCAGGAACCTCCTCACAGAGAGACTCCTGAAGGACGGGGATTCAAACCAGGAACCTTCCTTTATTTTTCCAGAATAAAATGTAGAACCTAAACATGATGATGAACGTTTGACCCGCCTTCGACCTTTAAGGTCAGCATGAGCAAGCTTCTGGAAAACGATGAAAGAAACTTTATTTAAATGTTTCTTTATAGCAATGTGGAAATGACGAAACGTTTTTCAGCTCTTTGCTTTACTTTTACTGAAGAAATACACACACACACACACACACACACACACACACATAGAGGAAGTGTGTGAGAGAGAAAGGGAAGCTGGCTGGGTGGGGGGTGAATCTATTCTGGGTGACTCCTTCCTGTTTGGGTGTGGCTTCACAAGGCTGTATCTGTGCGTGTGCGTGTGCGTGTGTGTGTGAGACTATAGCTAACAGAAGCTCACCACACATTAGTTAACTAATTATTGAACTAAATGAGAGCTCACTCCCTACCTGCTAGTCTCCTCTTTCCTAGCTATGTAAAATGACTCCTAACTGGAGGACAGATGAACAAGTTATAATCACAGCCCCAGGATTACCTGCCTAACGTTCATTTCTAGAATAATTAGATTTAAGGATAACCCCTGGTACAGGACTCTAGATTACCCCCCAGAGAGGGAATAACTGTGAACTCCCCTCACTAGGATGCTAGGTGTGTATGAAGTGTGTAATATAAATCAGTGTGCCGTGGTGTGACTGCTCAAGCTTACCTTCCGAGGTTCACGGGGTCCTTAAGGGAGACTCAGGTCTTTGTGGTGTGAATGATTTCAGTCACAAAATGATTTCAAAAAGTTTCCAAAAATGTCAAATGATATTCCAAATGCAAATACAAAACAGTAAAAGTAAAAGATATAAAAAATGGAAAAGGAAAACAAAACTCAAAGACCAAAGTCTAAAGCTGTGAGTGTAGACACTTTTAAAAGATCTTGGCTCAGAGACTAAGTCCCAAAATGGGATTTCAAAAGTCAGAGTGGCGTGGATTCGTTTAGCAAAGCAAAAAGAACCTCGATCAGATTTTCTCCAGAGTTTTTATAGACAAAAAGTCTCTTTTTTCAAGATCCTGGAACACCTCAACATGGCACGTTCGCAGAAACGTGATGCATCCACAGGTCAGGCCAAGTTCAGGACATAGGTAATACCAAGTTCATATGTGGTTTCAGACCGTGAACCGAGCTGATACTCAGAAACGCTATACGCCTATAAGCTTAGGCACCGCGAGTGTGTGTGAGTTTAACAGGAAATGTTGAAATCAGAAAAAGGTGAAGACTTTATGACCTATGTATTAAATGATGAAAGAATAGGGTTAGGGTAACCCAAAAAAACCAAATTCAACAATTGCATAACTCTTTCTGATCTTTCAACAGTGTGTGTGTGTGTGTGTGTGTGTGTGTGTGTGTGTGTGTGTGTGTGTGTGTGTGTGTGTGTGTGTGTGTGTGTGTGTGTGTGTGTGTGTGTGTGTGTGTGTGTGTGTGTGTGTGTGTGTGTGTGTGTGTGTGTGTGTGTGTGTGTGTGTGTGTGTGTGTGTGTGTGTGTGTGTGTGTGTGTGTGTGTGTGTGTGTGTGAGTGAGTGTGAATCATCAACACGCTGCGACATGCTCAGCTGCTCTCTTACACACACACAATCATTCAGTGTGTGTTCTGTAGTCTAAATGTTTTTAGGTATCCTCCAGATCTGAAAATTTAGCCGATGCCGAAGTGCAAGAAACTGCAGTTCCTCCGGCGTCCACTAGAGGCGGTCTGCAGAACCCGAGGACGCCCCATCAGGTCTCATTTCAAATGTCCGGGCGAAAACAGTTTGGGTCTCTAGAGCTCACGTCTAATTTAAATAATGCGTCTGTGCAGTTTCATTCAGGAAGTAAAACTTAAAAAGTGGTGGTCCCTGTCGAGCTCTTTACGGCTAATCATATTCCACATTTGCATAATTATGGGCGTGGCTAAATGTATTTACAGGAAGAAGGCCCGCCTCAGCTCTTTGCCCTCTTCCAGTTTATTCAGAAATTATGTTGAGAGTTCCCAACATGGTGACCGCCGTCGTTGGACTTCAAAATGCTTGCCAGAAACCAATGGTGACATGACGTCCATGTTTTATACAGTCGATGATACTAA